GAATTTGACACGATTAAGATTAACGTTAATATATTATCCTGAAGAGGTGGGGTGGATGGCACAGAGGTGAAGGGGAATAGCGGGGATAAGAAAAGGATTCATCAATAAACATAATTCGATACATAACACACGTGTATATGACAAACGTTATCAGGGTTACATTCAGTTATGTTCGTGCAAAATTGAAATGTCGATAAGTCAATACTGTATAAGTACAAGTGTATCTCTTTTGTTTTTGTCACTAACATTTGGAAATAAGGCGTTATTTTTCACGTACAATTTTGTATCAAAAACAGTTTACCATAAGTGGGTGAGCTAGCGCCCTTGCACCCGAACTTCCCAGACCGTGGTGTCGCATGTTCAGTACCGGGTCCTGCATATGTCTCATGAAGTAGGAGACTGGAATAACACCCAACTTCTTACACACCGATAGATACAAAGCACGTCCCGTTAAGTCAAAATCTGACTTCTTCTCCTCTGTGATAAAAAAAAAAAACGCAAAGGTCACCAGTGTTATACCGTGTTCCTGTTCATCATACTCAGTACCATGCTACTTTTTAGTTTCAATGTTTAATCATTTACTTCTAATTTCTTGGCTCTTTGATTAAAGGCTACACGCAGTTTACCATGACACAACACTGTTCCTGCTTGCGTCACTCATGACTTTGTTGATTGTATACTGAATACGTATTATAAGTTGCCATTGTTTTTCTGTGTTGCAATTTGTACTCTAGTTTGCGAGAATATGTGTCTTAAACTGCACCAATACCGTTACAACTATATCGCGATACTTTTTGTCAGTACTGTTAAATTACTTTTTGACATATTTGAATACCTTCCAGTTCCAGATCGGTGTCGGTATCAACATTTTTGGCAGATCCCTCACGTGAACGTCCAGTTGATACATCTGACGTCACAGACTCTGAGCTTCTGTAAAACATTATGTTTTCTTCGGTAAGAATGATTGTGCGGATATTTCTAAACATTTTCTTAAAGTTGGTAAGTATGGATTGAGAAGTTCTTTTTAAACAACCAATAAGATTTATTAGTAAATCTTATTGGTTGTGTAAAAAGATTTTTTTCATAATGATTGTGCGGGTAGGCTACCTAAATCGTAACCGTTGGAATAACTAAATCTACAAAAAGTAAGTACAGCACCAGTTACGAGTTTTAAACCGTTCGTTCGGTAGAATAGACCTACTAGACTTGAGGTTTTCTCTGATTTTCTGTACCAAAACGGATTATTCAAAAACTGATGCATAAATACATTATGCAGTACTGCCACAATACAATGAATTACTTATTTGATGTCACATCTTTCTTCACATCGTCATCGATATTATCATCGAGCCCTGTGATGTCAGTATCCCCAAGCTGAGTTTCTGACATGTTTCTTCTTCCTCAAAAAACATGGCTCCAAAAGCAGGATATGACGTCATAATGTAACGTCGTGACGTCGCGAAAAATATCGCGGGATATGGAAGGATACATTTTGGCGACAGACATGATGTATGTAGTGTTGGATGGGGTGAAGTTGGTTGCACTAAGTACATCACACGTGATGTTGAGTTTAATCAATAAAGTTAAACCAAATGACTCATGATCAGTAAAGCTGGCCCCTTATTAAAGTGAAAACATAGTTGAATGTGATGTCGGGATATTCATATTGCATCTGTTATAATCGCGCGAAGCACGGATCCACTTCGGGGTTGTTTTATAGGAATTCGTTTTATAAACGACAGAGACATTGTACTTCTCGACCATTATCCCTGTAGTAGCAAACAACTGACGATAGTCTGGCTCTATATATATATATATATATATATATATGAACGGTGATAAATAAACATCAATCCGCCTGAAGAAGCCCTAG